CCTCCGCGCGCGCCCGCACCCGCCGCAGCAAACGCTCGGCGCGGCCGTCACATCTGCTGCTGCCGCCGCCGCCGCCGCCGCCGCCGCTGCCGCCGCCGCCGCCGCCGCCGCCGCCGCCCCCGGTCCCATTCAGTTCCTGCTCGCTGCCGAGGGCCGCCAGGCGCCGGATCAGATCCTCCAGCACCTTCAAATCCTGCGGGCGCGATTCAAACAGGCAGCCACAGCACGCTGCGTGTCACAGCACGCTAGCGGCGAGACAGCGCGCGCCGGGGCGTGCCCGCCGCCGCGCCGGGCCCGGCGGCGCCGACGCAAGGCCGGGGCTGCGCCGCCCGCCGCTGCTGCGTTGTAGGGCCTTTGGCCTGGCCGCCCCTCCCGCTTCCCAGATCCGATCGCGATCCCGCCGCCCGCCTGCCCTTGGCACCTGTGCGGATATGTGATGCGAGTCCCGGCAGTCCACCTTGCCGCCAGTCCGGAGCGCCTGGCCCCAGAAAGCACTCTCGCCGCCCGCCGAGCAGGCCTGCGGGGACGCGCAAGGGCGGGGTTTCAGGGGGGCGGGGCCCTGCGTGTGCGGCCCGCAGCCGCGCGGCGGTCGCGCTGCGCGTCGTGCTCATCGGGTCAATTGCAAAATAGGGGCCAGGGAACCCAGCTGCGGAGGCTGGGTCATCCCTTTGCACTGCTTGTCAGCAGCGCCCAAGGCAAAGCCCGCGCCGCCTGCCGCCCCGCCATGGCCGCTGCCCTAGGGACGCCGCGCCCCGCCTTCGCCCCCCGGGCCCCGCGGAGCGCGCGCGCCTTTGCCTCGGCGACGGGCGCCCAGAGCGCCGCCCAGTGCAGCAGCTGGAAGGTGAGGTGGTTGTCCGTATTGTCGGGCGGCAGGGGGGCCCTGGTGCGGAAGCCGGCGGGGCGCGGTGCGCGCGTGGCGACGCAGGTGCAGGGGTCCATGCGGGGTCACGCAGCCAAAACCAGGATCAGACCTGAAAGTAAGTTCAAGCTAAGGATTGTGACGGCGTCTCATGGTGCGATTCTGAGACCGCCCGATTCTAGATCCGCCTGTTTCTGGATGTGCCCAATCCCGGAGCCATCCGGGCTCCCGTACAAAATGGGAAGTCGAAGCCGGGGCGAACGCGGCGCGGCAAGCGGGCCCTTGGGCGTTTGAAATCAAGGGTGTGGGCTGACAAACGGGGCGTCCACACCTGACGAGGACGCAGCGACAAAATAGCTAGTGCGTGCGTGCATGCGCGCGCGCGCGCGTGTGTGTGTGTGTGTGTGTGTGTGTGTGTGTGTGTGTGTGTGTGCGTGTGTGCGCGCGCGCGCGCGCGCGTGTGCACACCGTGCAGAGCGCGCTCACCCTGGCGCCAGCAGCCCCTCCGCCACCTCAGCCGCCGCCTCCAGCACCACCCCGCGTGGAAGTGCCTCCCAAACGCGCACCGCGCCCTCCGGCGCCGCGCTGCCGATACCCTCACGGCCCCCCACGCCGCCGCCGCGCGGGTCCGATAGCCAAGACAGCAGCTGGCCGCAGCCGAACTGCAGCAGCCGGTGGTAGTGGCCGCCGGGGGGCTGCTTGCCTATGCCGGCAAAGCCCTGAAAAGGGGGGGCGCGACAGGCGCACGCGGCCGCGGTGGAGGAGGGTTCGGCGCGGCGCGTCCGGCCGTCCTGCGCGCGTCCTGCCGCGGCCGCGCCGCTGCCGCAGCGTTGCTGGCGGTGCCCTCAAATAGGAGGCTTCGGCCCCAGCAGGCCCCGCCGCCGGGCAGGGCGTGGCTCCGCGCGGCCGGCTGGCCCCGCGAGCGCGCGCGTGCGCGCACCCTCTGGCGCGCCGCCGCGTGCGCGTAGTGGCGCAGCAAGGCTTCGGTCACCGCCACCATTTTCTCCTGGTCGTTCCGCCCCAGCCGTGTGCCCAGGTCGCCGGTTTTGGAGGGGTCCGCTGCCGAGTTCAGGCGGCGGCAAATAATCGCCAGCTCCATGCCGGCGTTTACGCGCAGCTCGCGGGCATCGGGCTCATGCTGAGTGGCAGGGCGGGGGGGTC